TTTTTTACTTTTGTTTGGGCACAATAAATATTTATTATATGTTTTGTTATACGTATTATACATATTCATAATTCGTACTTACGCTCAAAATGTTTTTTAGTAAAAACTTATATAATATTAGATGTTGCTTATATAAATATTTAAGCTTATGCAAAAAGAGAAGAGTATAAGTGTGGGTATAAATATAAGACAAACGTATAATCTTTTTATACTTATGCCCACACTTTTACTTTCTTCGCTTTTATACCTTTCTTTAACTATTTTAACTTTTCTCATACTTAAGCAATCCCTTATACTTAAATATCTTCAATTTGACTTCCTTTACTCTAAATAAATAAATCATAAATTTCCTTTTCTAGGAATGACCTTTGTGACTTACTTCTCCAAGTATATCTCCATGTCATATTCAAACTTCATAGCCCACATCGCAATACTTTTTAACGCATAAACGTTCAATTTGTCGCCCGCTTTTAAGCTTTATTATTTTTTGGCAAATGCCGTTGCTGCCCACACACTCACGCACACACACACACACACACACTCACGTCTATTGTCGCCATAAATATTATGTTTATTATTTAACTGGGTTAACTGCAGTCAGTGAACAATTTGAACCAATCAAAGTCGAGCACTTTTATGCCCCTCTATCAAATTTTCTCCCCTTTTTTTGGGGGGGATTTGCATAAAGCCGCGCCCAAAGAAATCAAAAGCTAAGCGACACTTTATTCGCCTTGTGTCATATAAAACTTTGTCTATTTTTTCTCTTCTTTTTTTGGGCCAGAAAAAAATGCAAACGCCCACGCGTTTTTAGCCGCCGCCGCGTTTCGCAATTGGCGTGAGCGTCTATATAATTCCATTTAGCAATACTCAAAATACAAAAGGCGTCTAGTTTTTCCCATGGAAATGAACGAATAAAAAAAAAAAAAACACAAAAACTACTACAAATTATGGCAGCATTTTCCTATTGTCGTTTGCTTAGCTCTGGGGGCCCTTTTGAATCGGACTAAAATTCGTTTTCTTTTTTTTTTTTGCCTTAATTTTTTTTTTTGTCTTTGGGCATTTATTGAGCAATCTGTGTTGGGCTTGTACTATATTCAATAATGTTTACAAATTTATTAGCTGGGAACGTTGTCGCTGCCTGCCATATGCAGCACCAAAACAAAAGACTTAGGCAACGAACTTGTTTTGTGTTTTGCATAAAGGAGAACTTTTTAGTGCAATTGCGCTAAGTGATTGACTGCTTTCTGTCTCTGTTTCTTCTTCGCCTGCTTCTTCTTCTTCTAACCGCTTTTCCATGCCAACGAAAGTAGCATGAAAATGAAAGTTTTTCATTTATTCGGCTAAGCTGACAAGTTTTCGCTTCGCTTCGCCTCGCTACTGCTTGTTATTGTTGCAGTTGTTGTTGTTAGTGCTGTTKTTGCTTTTCCACTTCCACTTCCATGCGCCTGTTTGGGCACTCGTTCACCTGGTTTCGGTTTCGCTATCTGGCTGGCTGGCTGCTTGGCTGGCTTTGTACAACAGGATTTTGCTGGCACCGCCAAAAACGCGTTGGCGCAAGCAGGAAAAACCACACACCAAACACAAACACACAAACACACATACACATGCACAGGCATACACGCACACGTACGCTTGGCGCGTAATTTAGCTCTTCAACGTGCAGGAAAATTATGTTTTTGTTTTTGTGGAAAATGTGACTGCTTCGCAATTTTGTTGCATCTCATTCGATAGTCGTTTACGAGCTGACAAGGGAGCAAATTGGTTGTGTACAATTTTTGCTGTCTATAGCTCTATGCGTCAGTCAGTTTATCTGTTTGATTGAAAGCTAAAAACTTGACACTTCATGCTTTGTCCTTACCATGTTGATATTCGGCTTTGTATTAGAAGGGGGAAATCACGTATAATACAATATTGCTTAGTTATTGACTTAGTTACTAAATTACCTTCGTCTACTGGGGCAATGATAAATCGAGTATTATTCTTATCAAATACAACTTAAATATCAGAAATTCGTATGGATTTACTTGATTTATTTTACAGCTATAGATTTACTTGATAGATAATCATCTATCCCTTCCCATGATCTCCCATGCGGTGTTCTAGTAAATAGTCGTAGATGGCTCATGCTTCAATATGCCTTACAGAAAGATCATATCTATCTATCTATATATGAAATTTATGATAGATTTGGTTCAGAGTAATTATAGAGTATGATATAATATGATATGAACAGCACATAAACAACGATTTTGGGATAAACTTTGTGCATTATTTTGTCGTAATTATGCAGTTAATTAGATGCTTCTGCAATATTCTTACTTAGTTTCCTGTTCAAGCATGCACAAAATTAATAATATATTAAAATAAAACAAGGATATATATATTTTTCTTATATATATATAGAGTTATATAAGCACAAATCAATCAATTTGGCCTGACGGAAGACACCGCCAGCTATTATTATAGACGAAAGAAACTATGCATGAAATTAACATAAATTTGTATTGACCAAACAGAGAAACAACTAGAGAGCGAAATAATGAAAAGATAAGCAAAGACAAATGTTTAAGAGATGCGAGCCACTTGATGGCGAGCGCTTTTTACTCAAAAACCAGCCAAAAATAATATTTATTTTGCCATTAGTTGGCTTTTGGAAATGGGTCAGGCGACATTTCAAGTTCTGCGCTTGGGGGCGAAAAAACAAATGCAAAATAAAATATGAAAAAAAAAAGAGTAGAAAACAAAATAAATAAACAACCATTTCTTCTGTAACGAGTGCAACCTGTCACGTCGCTACGAAATATATTTATCAAGTCCATAACAATTTGAAATGATGATTATATCTATTGGCAACAAAGCTCGCCGCGCCGCAAATTCATTTTATTAAATGTCAACTTTGAGCGCTTGGCGCATCTGTTGCCATCCTCGACGAGACGCTGGAGCTGAACACCAGCCGCAGCCACAGTCGCAGCCGAAAGTCGTGACTGCAAAAGTTCAACAACATTTTGCACAAAAAGTGCAAACTTAATAAACTTAGAGAAGAAGAAGAGGAAGAAGCAGCAGCAGCAGATGCAGCACCAGAGTCTGGTTAGATTCTCTGCAGAGCCGAAAGCAACTTCCGTGCTGATTGCACTTGTGCACGTGTTTTTTCTGCTGTTTCACTTTTTGCTGCTGGGTGTCAATTACAGAACTTATTAAAGCCAAATCTAACGTACAGCTGCTTTAATTACAGCCCAACGACAGCTGTGCCCTTTACAAATCAAATACAAGCCCCGCACAGCTTGTGCCACATTTGTGACATGCCGTGTTGGAGGCGTGCCAGAACATACCAAAACTTTCAATGTTGGTGGGGGGGATAAACAGAGAGCATAAAGGTCGTCTAAGCTGTGGTATCGCCAGAAATACTAAGAAAGAATATGAGAAATACTATGAAAATACTATATGTAGCTGAGATGGGATAGAGCTCAGAGCAAAAGAAGCTGTCTATATGTATGTATATATATTTTTTGTATTTTGGTTTTGTGCAATGTCTCTACATCTGTCCCTACGTCTGTATGTATGAAACTTTTATCTGCACTATTAAAGCTACCCTCGAATTATAAAGTGTAAAATTGTTTCCAATCTACCCATTGACAAATGCACAGTGAATGAGTATTCTGCAGTCGGTAACACCTGCCTGCAACGTTCTCACTTGTTAATTAATTTTTCGGTTAAAAATTGAATACACACAAAAATTTGTTGGGTTAATATTATATATGGCATATGTATATAAAGCTCAAGGCTTTATGTTATGGCAATAATAAGACTTATAATTATATTAGCTAAATGTCAATGGCATATTTCATTAACGAAAATTGCTCCTTTATGGTAACTCGTCTCAATTCAAAAATGCATATATAATTTTAACACTTTTACTTATGCCTCCCCTACATAAACACTCGAAGATCAATATATAATCGACATTTATCATGTGATTTATTGCATTTATTTGTTTGGCCAGTTTTCTACCGAAATTAAGAAGTTGATTAGCTAAGCTCTGCTCAAAAAGTAGAGCGCATAGTGAATATCCGCATGTGACGTATATTCGATTTTCGGAAATGAATATTTTGGAGGCCTTTTGTTGGTTCTCATGCCACTCACTCATGTCGACAAGTGTGGCAACATTGAATGCCAAATTAACTTTTGACAGCTGTTTTACTTTGAAGTCTTCATCTTTTGCCTATTCCAAAAAATGCAGGAAATAAAACCTCTATAGAATTTGAATGCAAAGAGAACACCCGATAGATACCGCAGCCACTGCACTCAGGTGGATGACCTGTGCTCTCTTAACTCTTTCTAGTGTACGAACAGGATAAGATAAAGATTATATACTTAGGGACGACATTGCAGCTGAAAAAGATATCAAAAATTTATTTTGAAGGATGGCAAATGAGTTCATGAAGAAATCAATATATATTTAACAAAACCATTATACCCTGATTTCCCATTGAAAATGGGTTCAAAATAACAGAAACTTCCTAGTATTTCTTAAATAACATTTTAAGCTAGGTAAAGGAATCCAAAACTATTTTAAGAGTTCAGGAATTATCATGAAACTTGCGACCCGATTCGCTCTGAATGCTCAACCAACGACTAACCCGTACTCAGAATGTAGATGACTTATGGCTTAGCTAATCAGTTAATTTGCTATGCAAACGGCAAGCTCAGTGTGAAAGTCAAATTAGCATTTCGAGATTATTTTTAATATATTTTTTATATTTAATATATTTGTGGAGCAACGTTCTTTAATTTTAGCAGCTGCACATAAATTCAACGGGCTTTTTTTAAATTTTCTTTTAAACTTTGAATTGTTTTAGTAATAATTTAAAACAGCTTTGTCATAAGTGTCTTAAATTCATAATTAACATGCTTATTTATTTAGATATGTTCTTATAAAATTATTTAAATATTGTAAGAAATTTAATGTGTGTGTCTGTTGCTGTTGCCTTTTATATACACATGCTCAGACGATTTGCGTCAGAGATTTGTATATAGATATTTGATGCTGTTGTTGTTGTAATTGTTGTTGCTTAAACAAATTTCCATGCTATACATAGGTACGTTAATAATTTGCATAACAAATGTGCGCTTACGAAAACCAGTTCAGTTTGTTTTTCAAGAATCGATTGGCATTTTGGGCAACTCAAAGAAAAAAAAAACATGTATATAACTAAAAACATATATATGCATAATATATATCGGGGCTGTGCTAATTTTTAGCCAATATCAGCTAACAAGAACTTTGAGAAGTGCATAGAGAGGCGCTGCGCCTCTTAACGCTTGCCAAACCGAAACTTTTGACATTTTGAGGTCGTCGCAATAAAATTTTGTTGTTGTTTTTTTTTTTTTTTTTTGGGAAGTAAACGGCCTAGAAAATATTTATAATAAAAACAACAAAGACGACTTTGTAACTTGTTTTGCGTTGGCCTACAAGATTCTTTTTTGGCCAAAAGAGGCTGAAGATGATGAAGAAGAAGAAGAAGCAGACGGAGGCAAAAACCTGTACAACAAAAGTGAATCTGCCCGTAGCCGAAGAATCTAAGCGAGCTTTTGAAGTGAAATCAAAAGTGCTTGTCGACTCGAAACAGCAGCAGCAACAAATTAAAGCTAAAGTACGCCACAAACACACACACACACACACGCTCGCAACTATACAAAGCCGAAAAGGTTAACAAGTTTTACTACATGATTTATTTGCATTTTTAATGTGCTCGCCAGGCAGCATCGGATCAGCCAGCTCTGGAGCTCAGCCTAGACGAGTTTCAGCTAACGTACTCCCCTTTAAAAACTCTATGTAGAACTAAAAAAAAAAAAAACTCTAAAAAAATAGACGTTAGCTTGTTTGCCTTATTCATATTTTATTTGTGTTTTAGTCTGAACTTTGCCAGAAAAGAGTTCGTTTTTTTTTGGAAGGGGGGAGGGGGGGTAATACTGCTCATGTTGGTTACTGGGCTAATGGCTTTTGCTTTATGACCCTGTTCTTCTGTTTGGGTTAATTGAACTCTTTTTATCCGTGTATGCCTGGCCGTATGATAATGCGGCGCCATTAAACCGCCAGCTGTGCCCGCAGCAGCAGCAGCAGCAGCAGCAGCCTTGATTATATGCGAGCGTCGTACAAAGAGTACAGCACAAATTTCAATTAAATGAAGTCATGAACCAGTTGATTTGATTTGTATGTGATGTGGCTCATATGCTTACATAAGTAGTTCACTTACGCAGTTCATTAAAGCTCAGTTTTGCATGAGGACTGAAAGCTTCAAGAGACGGTCTGGTAGAGGTAGTTCCGAAAACGAAAAAAATGCAACAGAAATTGAACTGAAGTGAACTTAAATGAACCAGCTCAAAATGATATTGAAGTCATTTGCATGCGCTAAAGTTCATATGTGCTTTAAGATAGTTCATTAAGCATTACAAATGGCATTTTGGCTTACATGACTAACATAATTTTACTTACCTTATTTTACTTTAATACAATTCATAGTTTAGTATATTTAAAATTTAGAAAATTTAGTTATAATTATTATTTACTAATCTTATTTTCATTGTTGTATTTTTTTTTATATGTGTATATATATATGTACTTAATTTTTATAGTTAAATATATTTTTTGTGTATAGTTTTTTTCATTGGGCTATATTATTTTTATTGAGTTATAGTTTTTATACTTTTTTGTTTATTATATTTTTTTTTTTCATTTTTATGTTTTTTTTATTTTACTTTTATTTTTTTTTCATTTAGTTACTTTTCCTGGGTTTGTTTTTATATATTTGATTACTTTTTTATTACAATATATTTTGTATGGTTATTATTTCTTATTTTTATTTGTGTTAATCATAAATATTCAAGGATTTTTTACGTATTTTATTATAGCAATTCTAAAAACACTTTTTATGCTCGTAGATAAACATATTTTTTGGCTTAGACTAATTCCATAATTTTTAATAATTTATTACCATGCCAATTTAATATGCTAATTTTTTTAATTTGATTTTTTATGGTCGTTTATTAATCCAAAAATATGAGAGACAAAATTAGTTTAAGAACTGGAACATACATGCAAAATATATAAGACCTAAAATAATGCTATTCATAATTAATTAATTAATTAATTAATTAATTATAATTTCCTAGACGTTTGCTCCGGTTGCCAAATGCTATGAAAAATTTCATAAATATTTTGCTCAAATAATGTGATTACGTTGAATGGTATTTAAAAGGCAGCCTCTACCTATGCTTAAGATATAATATACTACATACATATATGTATATATATATACATATACATATACATAGATAAAACTATATCAAAATGTAAAATATGCGCTTGTGCACTTAGGCATGACGCAAGCTGAAAAGCGAGCGAGCTGCATTTTCATTTTCTTAGTGCAATCGAAAGCCTTGCAGCACTTTAAATATCTCAAAATCACACACAGACACACACATACATTTACATACAAATGTAGCTATATAAAATAGTAAACAACGTTGTCTATAATTTTATATGTCTTGCTGCAACACGACTCGCTGGCGTGCCAGCATTTGCTCCGATTTGATTTTAACTTTTATTCAACAAACAGCAACAAGAACAACAACAGCAACAGCAAYAGCAACAACAACAGTTGCTCGTAATGCCTGTAAAGACAACAACACCAACAACAATAAAAGCAATAGTAAAAGTAAAGCGAGTGAAAAATAAAAGCACAAACGCAAGCGCCCAACAAGGCCGTTCACTTTGTCTAGCGAAAAAAACTTTACACACACACACACAGATGCACATATACTGTTACACATTTGATGGAAAGTGAAAATTGCTGGCATTAGTTGCATTTGCAACAGCCGTTTGCAGCCGATTTTGCTTAGCCTGTTGTTGTTGTTGTCGCCGTCTGCAGTAAGTTGCTCGCCTAAGTCTTTTGTTTTTCATTGCTCAAGCTGCCATTTAGCAAAGCTCTCTCTCACACTTACACTCACTCTCCCTCTCTCTCCTTCTCTCTCTTTGTCTTTGTCTCTTTCAGGAACACATACAGGAAGTGCTGGACAAATGGACGCAAATCGATGATGAGATCTGGGCCAAAGTAATTGTCTTTGAGCGCAATCGCCGTGTGGCCAAAGCCTATGCACGTGCTCCAGTGCTCACAATCAATGGCTCCGACGATGGCTTCGATGGCATGCGGTATGTATATGCACAGACGTTTGGCCTAAACAGACTTTAGACTAGTTTGTAAGTGCTCAACTTTTATTGAACTCGTTCAGCTGGCCATAAGTTGCCAGCTATTCGAGTATACAAACTTTTGTTGTCTATATTCTAAATATGCAATAGTATATAATAGTCTTTTAAGATGGGGCAGTAAACACTCGTATCTTTATATTCAACTCTCTATAAACAGTTTATTTTGATAGTATTTATGTATAGTACTTGTGCTTGATCAGGATCAACTGAAAAGGCGTATAAGAAACTAGTCAAACTGACCCTAGAAGTCAGTTTGCATGAATGTATAGATAGTAGTAGCTTATAAGCAGGGCTGGGTATAAGAGTTAAGTATAAGAGTTAAGTTTAGCCTCTATTTGAGTGAATGTACAAGAGCTATAATCGAGATGATTTGCTCTTGACAAATATATATATATGTCATATATATTAATATATACACTGACTAGCTAATACAGTCGAGTCTTGATAATTTGTAACCCGCTGGAAAATCGGGAGAAATCGTAAAAAATTTGTATCCCATGAAAGAAATTCGTTCTGAATAATTCTCGATAATTTGAATTTCTGTGTAAACCTAAAAAAGAAAAAAAAAACTGATCCACTTTGAATCATCGGCATTCTGATAAATGAGTAGAGTGCTTCAAAGATAACTTTCAAATTATGGTACTCGAAATTATTCAAGTCGGCCCTTCCATTGCAAATCGGCCCTTCCATCAAATTTGTTTTCAAATAAACAATAACTTTATCCACAGTCAATTAGAATATTGAAATATAAACAGTCACATCAGCTTAGGCTTAGGGTATCTGCTAGTCTGGCAGAGCACTTTTACTTTCTTGAACTGCTGCCTTGCTTCACTTTTTGCCCAATTGTTGTTTTAGCTTTTGTCTGTCCTGTTTTTGATGAGAGGCAGGGCAGCACCTTAATTACAAGCAGACCAATAAAAAACAAGGCAATACTAATAAATATACACGCATATATACAGCTATATATACATATCTGTAAGTCAGCAATTGCTGCCTTTGAACTTTTTCGCGCAAAAAGAAAAAAAAAATCATTTTGCAGCCGCCCTTGACCCACTCCCAGCAGGAGAAGCGCACTTTTTACTCTTGAGCAATTTGTTGTTGTTGCTGTTGTTGCTGTTGCTGTTGGTGTTTTTCTTGATAATAAATGATGAAATTACACCTGCTCCCAAATGGGCAATGAATGAAACTTTAGCGAGCCGCCGACGCGACGCGACGCGACGCCGCAGCAGCAGCAGCAGCAGCAGCAACGCCCATTAAATTGAATGGCATAGAGTATTACAATTTAATTGCCCAGCTGAACTTGTCGAGGCGGCCAAAGAGCTAGAAAACAAAACAAAACATATAGAAGACAAAGATATAGCGTATATACATATATAGTATCTGAAGATTTGTCTATATATGAAGCAGGCAGCGCATTTAAGAAAAACCTTCAGCTATGCAAATTACGACATTTTTTATCTGTGACCTCACTTGCTGGCAGCAATTTGTAGCATGTGAAAATGCCCGAAAATAAAATGAGCGTCAACAACAACAACAATAGCAATAGCAATAGCAACAGAAACAGCAACAACAACAACAGGTGAAAATGTTTTAATAATTGCGCGTATTTTTGTATAAAATGAGCGATTTCCGTTTGCTGCCGCAATTTGAGCTATGAAGAATTCTAGTTTTTGGTTTTCGGTTTTGGTTGCAGTTGTTGCTGCTGCTGTGGTTGCTGCTGCTGTGGCTGCTGCTGTGGCTGTGGTTGCAGTTGAAGCTAATTAACATATTCCGTCTCAAAATGATTTCGTCGTTGCGTGCCAGAAATTGCAAATGCCAAACGCTTTTTGGCTCAATTGCTTTGGCAATTTTTGCTTATTTCTTTTGCCCACACGCTGCTCAAGCACTTTGCTCAAATGTCAAGAAGTCTGCATAATGGAGTTGAGCAGCTTACAAGTATCTGTATATCGGCATATATACTTGAATAATATATGTATATACATACATATATATATACATATATATATATATCTCGATATGAGCCGGAGTCATGCATAATGTATTAGCCCATAAATGCGCTGATTAAAAACGATCGGGCTTAAAAGCAATTCAAGTTCGTTGCTTAAAATGTAATCTGGGTAGGAGCAGCAGCAGCAGCAACAGCAACAGCAGCAGCAACAGCAGCAATAACTGCAACAAAAGCAACAACAATAGCAGCAAGAGACTGCGCAAAAACAGCAACAATAACAGCAACAACAAAACAGCAACAAAAGCAATAACAACTACAACAGCAGCAGCAATCTGGCAAGCAGCAGCAACAACAACATCGGCAACAGCATGAAGCGACAATCACAGCAGCAGGAGCTGCAACTGAGACGTTAACAGTAACAACAACTGGAACAACAGCAACAATTGCAGCAACAGGACCAGCGGCAGCAACCCCGAAWATTGCAACAACAACAAAAGAAGCAGCAGCAACAAAAGTAACAGCAACAACAGCAAGCAGCAGCAGCAGCAGCACTGAAACATTAACAACAACAACAGCAACATCAACAGCAGCAACAACAACAACAACAGCATCAACAGTAACTAAAACGTCAGCAACAACAACAGCATCAGCAGCAACTAAAACGTCAACAGCAACAATTGCAGCAGCAGCAACAACAACAACAACAGCCCCCAAAAAAGGGCAATGCTGGTATTAGGTAGAGGGCGGCTTCCTTTGTACCCAACACGACAGCAATGAAATGAAGATGCCGCCCGTAAAATGTCAACAGCAACCATAATACTTAATAATAATAACAACAAATAACAACAGCAACAACAACAGCAACCAACAACATCAACAATAATCAGCCTGGCGCAAATATAATGAAATAAATAATAAATAAAATAAATATACGGCTGACCAAGAAACGAAACTAAATAAACGGTGGCAGTGCCCGACTAGCAGATGCTACGTAATTAGTAGCACTTAAGAAAAATGGGCTAAAGTAGGAAATCAGTGGCACTGATATACCCTATAGAGATAGAAATTATTAGAGCTGATGATACATTAAACCTGGGCAAAGTTAAGAGTGCCCGACTTGGAGATACTCCTTAACTAAACGAATACTCTCTATGAGGCAAACTACTAGCTAGGGATTGATCAATCTATTCAACACTGAGATACTCTATAAAAAGCAGTAAGGTAAGGCTATAGGGTAAGGCTAAGCAGAGCTGCCTGACTAGCACATACCTCGCAACAACATCTAGCTGTGTATTAAAAGTACGTCAATGCGAAAGGCTCGGCAGAGAAATACTCTGTAAACAGCAAAGAGGTAATATCAAATCAATATATAAATCGACTAACAGATACCCTGTAACTGAGTTCTGTGTCAGCTGCAATAAGGAAACTAACTAGCTGCAGTTAATAAGCAGAGTAAAAGTCAAAATTAACAACTACTAGATACCCTGTAACTACATTGCACATGCATTCACGACAATTGCTAACACATTGTCAATTTACAAGGCATCAGAAGTCAAATGAAATGGAAACTAATAAAGAAGAAAGCAATTCGCTGTGCTCGTGACGAGGTCATCAATGATCTCTGCAGATGCAAATTGCCGTTTGTCATTCGGCAGAGGCTGCAACAGAGCCTGGCGCTGAGATTGTGAACTGCAGCTGCGGCTGCGGCTGCGGCTGGCGATGGGGCTCTGCATGCGGCTCCTCTTTCTAGCTACTATTTGAATGTTTGCCTGTTGCATTGTTGTTATTGCTGTTGTCATTTGGCTGTTGGCTACTTGTTCATGTCAATTGCAGGTTAAGTATGCCCCGCAGCACGGCGAGAAAAAAAATAGAAATAATGGAAAACTGATTTCGAGTCGAAAGTGTCAGGTTAATCAATTGGCAGCATGCCGCCAACATCAAAGATAGAGTTAGATGATATGTGCTATGTGGGGTCTGCTGGGCCCTTTGTGCTTGCGGACGGACAGGCGAAGGGACGGACGGACGACAGACCGAACCTTGTACATTAATTAGCTACAATTGCAGTTGCTGTCAGCCCTTGTTAGCTTTTCTTCTTTTTTTGCTGTTTGTCAATTTAAAAATAGTCAGCGAATGGGGAATTTGAATGGCATTTAGATCTGTTTATCATACACGCCCAGCGCACGCAACGTTTTTCCCTGGAAATCGGTGCGCAAATGCAAATGGAAAGCAAGTTACCGTACCTTAGACGGGGTCTGCCGGGCCATTCGTGTGCCTTGACTGCGTCTTTAGAATCTATTTGAAATTGCTAAGAAACAAATTAAAATTCGTTTTTATTGAGAATTTTCGTCAGACGCTAAACGTTTAGCATACCAAATTTTAGCCATACGAAACCTGTTTCCCTTATCGACTTTCACTTCGGACAACATTGCTTCCTGAACTATGTATGTTAATGCGTATTGAACGTGTTTACGCGCCGCTTTGATTGCGCTGGTAGATAGTAATTAGTGTGGCCACAACACACAGAAGCTGGAGTTGAAGCATATGGACATATAAGGCGTAGAGTGGGGAAGCCAAAAATATGACTCGACTTGGCATAAATTATGTTAGACAGAGGAAATGTGGTTATATATTATGGAAAAACAAATATTTGTAAAATTACTTATGTTTGTTATATTCAATATAAAATCTAGGGAATCATCTTTTTAAACACTTTCTTTAGCTCTGCTGCAGCAGCTGGTTTTTCAGCATATGAAACTCAAGGTGAGGCAGTTTAGAGTTGATTAAATTTTTGTTTTACGTGGCTTTAAGTCAATTTTGACACAACTTGAATTTTTAATTAATTTTTATCTATAGCTATGACATAGCGTCTGGACTTTGAGTATTTTAAGCTTTTATTGTCTATCTCTAAAAATACAAGAGATACTCGAATAGTTATTATAGCATTCCGGAAATAAAGAAGCTTGAAAGTGAAAGAAGTGAAGCGAATATAGAATGA